ACTTGAATGGGCTCTGTGTCACTGTTGGCATCGTCACCGATCATTTCTTCCTTGCGTGAATCATTTGAATTCATCTTTTCTTCATTCCTACAAATTGCGCCAAATTGTGTGTTAAAATCTTACCTGACCACACATAATCAATAAGGGCTTCTCCTTCCTAAAATTCTCGGAACAAAGATGATCTTCTGGATAAACTCACCTAGATTCTCACCTGCAAAACTAATGTTAGCATTACCCCAGTTGGATGTCAACTAGGAGGGTACTCTAATGATAAAGTCAATTACGATCTCAACAACTCTAAAGGACAATGATCTTAGTACATAGAATTTCAAGTACCTTTACCTATGGGGGTTGATCTTTTACTAAGAACTTATAAAGTATCTTGCCTCCACCTAGAAATCTCTTTCATCCAGGATTCTAAGACTCGTATCATCATTTAGGATTACACTCTCCTGGTCCAATTGAGGTAAATCTCTTTAGAGATTTATCCCTAACCAACCTAAGAGTCATAGGGTGTGTTTGATTGGATGGATTGTGTAAGGGAATTAGAATTTATCGGATTTGAATCATAAGACTGTGAATCCTCCAGACTATTTGATTGGATTGGATGTGTATCCTGTGTTTGTTTTCTCATGGGATTAATTGTCTGGAAATGACTATTTTTAGTGAATCTATTTTTTGGTTGGACGAACTAGATAGGATAAATGAACAAAAGACTATTTTACCATTTTTCAATTGTTTACTAAGTAATAGCAATATTAAACATATCTTTAATATTTTAATTATTTTTAGTTAGATTAAATAAAAATTTATTTTATTTTATTTTTTACACAATTAAATAAATTTATTTTTTTTTAAATAAATAAATAAATAAAATATCAATAAAAATATATATTATTTTGTAATTAAAATTTTAAATAAATTTGTTTTTAAAAATAATAATAATCAAATAATGAAATTAAATAAAACATCTATTAAATTTAAATAATGAAATTAAATAAAATATAAACAAAATTTTAAAATAAAACATCAATAAAATATCTATAAATTATTTAAAAAAATAAAATAAATAAAACATCAATAAAAGTTAAATAAATTATTTTATTTTTAAATTGAGACATTTAAATTTTATTGAATTTTACTAAATATAATAATAATTAAATAGTAGAGGGTCAAAATGGTCATTTCACCCCCTAATTCCAACAATAAATAGTTCAATGAAAATTGTCCCACACCTCCCCCCCGAGATAGTATGGGGGATAAGAAGTCTGGCCGGACTCCATGCTCGGCGGACTAAAAAAAAACAAACACCAAATAAAAAAAATTTCCCAAATTACAATTCCAACAACGGATAATCCCCCATAATTCTCTCAATCAAACACACTCATAGTTCACTAGGACTTATTTGCCTAGGCCAAATATCTTAGCTAAGGTGTGGACCATGCCATACCTTAGCCAATCATTGTCTGTCAAGTGGCATATCAGTCCCAGATCATGCCATGTGGACTAACTCAAAAAATACGTTCCCACAATATATCAGTGCACTCACAAACCTTATGTAGGCCCCGTGCCCAATGGTAATAGGGCTCACAATTAGGGCTTGCTATGTTTGTATGTATAGAACAATGTTAGTAAGTGACTTAATGGTTATAACTATGAATGTACTAAAAAGATCTTAACTGATATATTCTTTTTAAAAAATTAAATCATTTCTTAGATGTATGCATTTTCTAGATTGACAATATAACATCTGCATAAAGAAGTTTTTTAAAATTAAAATCGTTAAAACTCAATAAGATTGACTAAAAAGACAAAATGGATCATACTACGAATTGAAAAGGGGAAATCTTAAAAACTTGAACCCAAAATTTGAATTAGTAATTTTTCAACTGAAAAACAAGAAAAAAATATTTTCCAATTAAAATTTTACAACATAAAAATGTTTTAAAAAGGCCTTATTTTATATATATATATATTTTTTAGGAAGGCCCAAAAAATTGTTGAGCGGCCTATGAAGTCAAGTAGACCAATCTCAACAACTACGGGGAAAACTTCATTCACTTCTTGCAGAATGCTTCAGCACTTGAACATTCTCTTGGTGGACCTTGTCCTTAATTTTTATATTGGTGGATCAATGACCAATTCACAAAGAAAAAAAAAACATAGAGAAGACGACAATATCTAAGATTCTTACCAAAATTGTATTGGCCTGCATGCCAAAATGATTCTACATATTTGGTAAGACTTATTTCCAGTTTATTTCAGCTTTTAACTTAATTTAAGCTATTTTGATGTGTTTAGTTCAGCTTAATAATACAGCTTATAGCTTTTTGTAAGTCAAAAATCAACTTATTCTTTGAGTGGGGGAGAAGAAGCTTAATTTTTAAGTCAAAAATCACAGTTATAAGCTGTGAGGTTATAAGTTATAATCACTTCCCCACAGCTTTACCAAACGGAGCCATTATCAAGTCAAAACAGCCAGCTCTAAGGGTTCACCTTCTCAGATTCACATTCAGAGCACATTGTAATATAATATTTCAACTAGAGACTTGACTCCTACTGTCTTTGATGGAGCCAAAATAACCAAACCATGATACTAATATAATCTAATGAATTCATTTTAACTTCTGAAAAAATACCCAAAAGAATGATTAAAAAACAAAAATTAACAAAATCCATACACTTGGAGAGTAACCACAAATAATCCATACACAAACAGACACACACACATATATATGAATAGATACAACCAAAAAAAAAAAACTAAGGAACAGAGAAGGAAAGGACATGAAGCCCTAGACAAAAATTTTGGTGAATGATGAAAGAAAATTTGGGAATAGGCATGCAACAGTTAAAACCATAAGGAAAATTAGAGCAAAAAAATAAAACTGATCGGCTACGTGAATAAAAACTTTTATGTGGAGCATGAATAAATTCATGAAACAAAAACAGGACATCTGCTAAATTGATATTTGAAGAATAAAACAAAAACAAAAAAAAACAAAAATACTTGGTAGTTCGAATTTATATAACCCGAATGGCTCAAATTATCAAAACAAACCACATCGTTTTGAGACATTCGAGCCATTCGGGCCATGAAAATTCAAGGTACCCAAGAACTGTAGTAGGAAATAATACATTTTGCACAGCATGATCAAAATTTTCTAGTCTGCCGAATTCCCTCTCAACGAATGGCATATGTCCTGAATGATTATGTTTTTTGGGAAAAGAAGATATCATCTAGTCCAAAATGTCTTATACATAATTAAGTAAACCTTTTTTCAAAAGCCAAAATCACTAGTTATTCTATAGAATAAGATCAGCAATGGAATGATACCTATACAGCAACATTATTGATGAAAATTTTCTGAAAAAATATATATATATATAGAAATTGACCGTCCAAGAGCTTCAAATTATATTATTGATGAAAATTTTCTGAAAAAATATATATATAGAAATTGATCGTCCAAAAGCTTCAAATTATAACATCAAGATGAGAAATGAAAACTATTACTCCAATTTCCTACTAGAGTTCTCTCAAAAAAGGAGCTCAAAAGTAATGCTACATCAGGAGCCCTAAATCCAAGTATGTCATAACAAACATGATAGAGACCCCCACTCCCCTCACACACACGTGAGGGTTAGTGATTGAAAAAAAAATAAAAAAAATAATAATCTGGCCAATCACAACCCACTGGGGGTCACCCCCAGTGGGGGTCCGGAGCATTTTTCATTTCATAAGCCACACATGACGAGAATGAAGCCCTAGATCGATGAGGGTATAAGGACATCAAGCAATATTGAATGAAATTAAAGGCGAACCAAGTTTTACGAGATTGAAATTGATCGAACACAGATTGAGATCGAATTTGAGAGAAATCAAATGAGAGAGGGTTTGCAAGAGAGAAATCGAATCTGACAGAAATACTAGGCAAAATAAATATAAGGTGAATGATATTAACAACATATGACATTAAGCCTCCATAAATGCACCTATGACATTAACCCTCCATTTAAGAAGGAAAGCTACAAGCAACAAAAGATTAATAATGAAAAGAGATCCATTGGATGATTCTTAGGGTATAGGTGACTATGTACCCTACATGCATACATACATGAACAAATATCAATGCTATAAGAAATGAAACAACATTTGATATCTAAGGCATAATATTAAAATCCAACCGAGTGATGATATATAAATAGAAAATTGATATAAAATTTTTATACATAATGATGACCTTTCATTTTAAAACAAAACACTCGTAAAAATAACTTATATTTACAACCATGTCACTCTCACATCATTCTTGTGGTGTTTTTGTATGAATTTTATGTATCGATATCATTTTCCAGTCCAGCCCAATGACTACAAATTCTGCTCGGAAATCTATAGACATAATTTAATTCCCCAAATATGCTTAAACCCATATCCACTGCTTGCAAATTTTGCTTTGTTGTAGGTGCTAAGTAGGCCAAGTAAATATTGTACTGAGATGCTGATTAGAATGAGAAATTATAACGATATAGACTTTCCTATACAGAAATTCTTGGGAATGAGAATGAAAGTTTTATAACACTTGATAAAACAGTAGAATGCTTGAAAAGAGCAGGAGCATTTAAAAGTTGTTTGGATAGGTTACATTTTTGGTGTGAGGTAATATTGGAGGTTTTGGACAATGCAAGTGAACCCTAATGTGATATAGGCATGATTGAGGTTTTCTCCACCATTCAATATTTTCTAAAAATTAATAAAGAGATAAAGTAAGAATACCGCCTTCAAATTTGTGAAAACAGAGTATTGACACTATAATACTTGAGTGCTTGATTTTACCCAACTAGCTTTTTCTGCTGAAAATAAATTCATTCAATTCTTGTAAAATAGAGAAGCCGCAAAAAACAGAGGATGTTATTCGAAACAGATTTTTGAGTGAAAATTCAAGTTCATATGCTCAAACATTTTAGAAAAAATTCGATTCCAAGATCCTGATCCTGCATTTTACCACCATAAAAATTTCAATTCATGGCTATGTGGCATGTTTTATCCGAGTGCGGGTAATGCATTTGTCATATCTAAAAGCAATAGCATAAGCTCCTTATATTATACGTATTACTATGACAAGAAAAATTTAAGCATAATTTGTAACAGAAATTGGACTACACAGATTTTCACATGTCCACCACCATGAGAGTAGCTGTCACATCCCCATTCCAGAGACTACCACTCTCTTTTGGGATCTTTTCCATTTGCTTCCTCCTTGAAACTGATAAATAATGTAAAAAAATAAAGTAATCAATGAGACATCATACAGATCCTCAATAAAAGGATGCAACTAAGAAAGAATTTTAACAGGCATAAAAGAGTTTTCTTTTTTTCTTTTTGATCAGCATAAATAGAGAATTTTATTGATGCAAAAGAAAATACATCCAATGTGCCCAACAGATATATCAATACTGGTTCAAGTACAAGATGCATCATGGCAAAACAAACCAACTAGGTTGGCACAAGGAGAGGTGCTAATCATATGCAAGCACAAAAAAGAGAAAGCAACTGGAGTTGGTAACGGGCCAACCAAGAGAACACCCGCATTTTCAATTAGAAACAAACACTGAGAACAATCAAGACATCAAATCAAGCTCATGGTAAACTCCTCAGCGGCAGCTATTGGATCAGACCTCTCTGTTTTCAAAGCTGCATCTCCTAGCAACTAACAAGGCGTCAAACAAGAGTTTCCATCTCTTCTTCAGTTTTCATCCCTTTTCTCTCTTTAATTTTTGAAGTCACAGGCACAAGGACCACATTACTGCAAAAAATAAGGATCCCCCCCATATGATCTTCCAAATCAGCATATCTAGAGTCAAACCACCACCATTCAAGTAATGATAATAGTCACCACGGGCAAGGATGGTACAATGCTAAGATATATGGTGTGTATTTACCTCCATGCCTGTTACTTATATTGTATTCCAACATATATATGGTTGATTAGTTGTTATGCTGAAGTGAAATAACTCATAGCTCATAATGCGTAGTTGACAATCATCATCATCATATCTTGCTGCAAAGCGATCACCTTGTTGCAATGTGGGCATTACTGTTAAGCTATAAAACTTCAAATTGTTGACCATGATCTCATACTAGAGATAAAGCTCAAAGCTAACTTTGAAAGGATTTAATGAAATCACGAGATGAACCTCATTTACCAAGGAACACTAAGAAAAGCATCTTTTGGCAAGGAACAATTCTAGGACTACATATTCCATGACAAATACCCGTGTTGCAAAAATAAATAAATAAAATAATAAATAAAACTACATAACTTTACTTCGGCAACAAAACACCATTGTAAAAAGCCTTTTGGCCACCATAAATAATCCAATTCAAATTTGATTTTATTTTGTATTTTTCACGGCAAACTTCTTGTCGCACAAATACTTTGACGTTGCCTTGGTTGGTGTTTTTAATTTCCCCTCCCTCTTCCCAATAAATTGTTGTGCCCTAATTTACTCTCTTCTCTTTCTAATCTCTCTCAGAGCTCTCTCTCCCTCACTCATTCTCATTGCAAATCTCATGCACTCCAAATGGTATATAAATTAAAGCAATTACTTAAAATTACAGCTTCTAGCAAGGAAATGACTCTCATTGAAGCAAATGATGGAACAAAAACTGCTATGCAATTTCAAGAGAATGAATACATACATAAATATACACATTTATTCAATACGAAATTTTATGGTCTGAATGTCTTAACGAATCATCTGACATTTGAGAGGAAATGAATTCATGTAATTAACTCAAGTAATTAAGATTAAACCTTGTGAAGTTGAGTTGTGCATGCTAAAGTTCCACTCAAATCAATGCAAGTTGCACTCCGTCACGCCCTCAAAATAAACCCATTATATATATATCATTGGCATGCAATATTAAAAGAAACCAATTCATTATCTCATTCATCAGAGTATTACAAAAAGAAAACATTACATGTACTATCAAATTAAATGCCCTATGGGCTTACATTTTTCCAAGCCAACACTTGGACACAAAAATATGAGTTTTAACTCAAATACAAATAAAGCCCTAGGCTTGAATGTCAACAGTGAACTATATATATTATATTCACATTCTTCCAATGTCAACAAACAGATGAGACTCAAGCTCAAATCAAAACACTTCATACTTCCAGTTTGATACACATTTTAGTGCTGTATCAATAAAAACACTTCAATATAAATAAGCACACATAAAAGTGATGCTAATGGAGTCCATCCCCTATCTCCTCCCAAACAAAATCCGATTTAGAGGTCCATCTCCTATCTTCTCCTAAACCGTGGAGTACATCCCCTATCTCCTCCCACACAAAACAATGTATGCACATGCAATGCTCAATCAATACACGTATTTTCTGTATTAATGCAATAGTCAAAATTAATGACTTAACCAATGTGATTAGTTTCAGTTATTCCTAATCCACATGCAATGTCTACAACAATCACGACTATCCTCCACCGATAGCCCAAAACAGTTATTTCTAGACTGGAAATAAATATATCAACAATTCAGTAGGCGAGTGGTTTAAATTATCCCACTACACCATTTAATCAATGAATTCCTCAATTTCATGAATTAAACCAAATTCCCAAATTCCCTTAAACTAATTATACAAATTAATTTATTAATACAACTAGGGTTTTTCCCAAAATTACCAAAGTATCCCCAACATATCAAAATACCAAAACTTAGAACAAAACTTATAGAATGGAGTAGGAAATCCCTACCTTGAAGAAATAGCCCCAAAAGAGAAGATGGAGATGAAGACCCAAACTCCAAAGTGCTCCAAACTACCAACAAATCAGATTAAAACGAAGCCCTCGACTCACACACTCTTTTTAATGAAGGATCTAGGATAGAAACACACCCTAAGTGGATCAAATCTAAGAGAGAAGGTGAGCAGGGTGAGAGAGAAGTCGGACCTTAGGGTTTGGAATCTAAAAAGAGGATGAAAAACTGATTAAAAACCCGCTGCTGTCTAATTAAACTGGACAGGCTCGCTCGAGCGAAGACTTGGTCGCTCGAGCGACCAGACACAAGAAATACTCGCTCGAGCAAAGAAAAGCTCGCTCGAGCCAAGAATGCAATGCTACGGGCCCATACTAGACGCAATCGCTCGCTCGAGCTAAGAAAATCTGGCTCGAGCCACCAAACACAAAATACAACCCTCGCTCGAGCGACCAAGTACTCGCTCGAGCGACCAACCCAAAAACTGGACAGCAACACTTGGTTTCCGAACCCAACCAACCTGAAACAAACCTGCCCAACACATCCTATAACTCCAAATAAGAAAATAAAGAATGACAACAACAATTATACAATGATAGAATCTACGGAACCTAAGTCCGGATACAATAATCAAATGGGAAAAGACCGGGGTCGCTATACACTCAAACACGAGGCATCTTTAAACCTAATTCCATTTATTGATTATGCTCAAGACTGTTAGCTTTTGCACGTTTTGAAATAGTGAAAAGGAGTTTCAACTATGTTTTATATTACATGAACTTCTTCAAATTTATGTTAGGCATTTCACAGTTGGATAAGAATAGGAATATGTGTCCAAAATGTTAGGCAGACGTACAACCCACAGATATTAACAAATAGTGAGTTTACTATGTAACTTAAATAACAGTTCTGTTACTGCTGGCCTGGTGGTTGGGGGCTTACACCCATGTGAATTAATTGGGTGACGCTCGGGGCAAGACTCAAACTCATTAATTATGAGTCTCAAACTCATTAATTATGGGTCTCGAGTGCCTTACCATTATTATACATTCAGTGAGGCTCGCAGATCTCTATGTCACGATGCCTCCGCATTGTCAAGCATGTCTAGACCCTTTCTAACTATTAATTCCCAAGGGAAAATGTTACGAAAATAAATTTTTTACTTGATTTTCTTACGACTAGACACAAAGCATCGGCCTCGTATATATTTATTAATTTGTACCTTACTATCTTTGTGTCTAATATTAAAAAAATCATATGAGAATTTTTTAATGTATCACATTACTCACTTTCAAGTAAATACAATTGAGAGGGTTGCCACACCACCCCCCTTCTTCCTTTTTTATGTGCCCAAAAAATGCATAACACTTCTATTTCGTTGATAACATGCTATACATTGTAATAAAAAATATTTTACCTTAAAATTTTGTATCGAATATTTAATAAATATAAAATTCAATATTCTACAGTGTCATTGACTAGAACAACTATTAGAATTTGACGCTTGCAAGACACATCCACATCTAACATGGGCCACATACACTAGTTTTATAGATAGAATAGGAGACAGAAGAGGGAGAAATTCATTTAGTTTGTTAATTATTGTCTTACCATGTGAATAGAAAGAAAAAAAGGTTTAAAAAAATTAAAAAAATAAAAAGAAAGAAAAGAAAAGGAAAGGAAATGGTGGTGTTATACAAATAGAAAATTTATATAGATTTTGTATTATTTTAAAAACAAAGGCCCATCAATGTGAGTTTTATATATATGTTAAAAATCGTTGTTACATCATTTTAGTACAAAATTATGTATAAATTTTATATTTGTACAAGACCTAAACTTCAAGTAAAAATAAAAAATAAAGGGTAAATTACACTTACCTCCCCTGAGGTTTCTGACAAATACAGGGACCTCCCCTGTAGTTTCAATAATTACAGTAACCCCCCTTACTTTACCTGACATTGTACAAATTCCCCCAATCCGTCAATTATACACAAACGACGTTACTTTTGTATACAAAATGACCATATTACCCTTTTATTTAAGTGTAAAAAGACGAAAATACCCTTTGATTGTAGTGTTCAACTTTTATTTTTATTTTTATTTTTTGTTCTCTCTTATCTCATCAAATCGAAACACCAGACAGAGAGAGAGAGAGAGAGAGAGAGAGTGAAGCTCGCAGAGCTCGCAGGTGCCGCTCCTTCCGCCGTCTGTCTTCTTCCTTCCGTCGCCATCATCTTTCCTTCTCATTTTCTTCTGCCGTCCACCGCCCGCCGCTCGCTTTTCCTCTCCTCCTCATCTTCTTCGTCTTTTTCTGAAACCCTAGCCCTAGATATATGGTTTTGAGAGCGGTGGTGGACGATGATGGCAGAAGATCCATCAATGATTTCATAGAAGCAGATAAGTTGTGTATTTGTATCTTTTTTTGCTAATTTAGTGTAAGAAAGTTGAAAATTTTGCTTTAGATCATTTGGGTGTAGATTCCAAACATCACTAATTAGTGTAAGAAAGTTCAAATTTTTGCTTTAGATTAGTTAATGTAGATCTAGAATGTGCTCTGTAACGTTTGATTTTTGAAATCCAAACAGACAGCGAAATATATACATATAAATATATGTTGGCTTTCAATTCTTTGCTAAAAATCCAAACAAGTGTATATGTATATATGCAAAATATATGTATTTATATAAACATACATCTGGTAGACAAATTGTTCCAATGTTTATATATTTGTATATATATATATATATATATGTTAGAAGAAAAAAAATTATTCCCATGTTTGAATGTGTGTATATATACATATATCTGTTAAACAAATTTAGAAATTAATTTAATTAGATTTTATTTTCTTTGCTAGAAATCAAAATATATTTTCATGGGTTTCAATTCTTTGTTGAAAATCTAAACAAGTGTATATGTATATATATAAAAATATATGTATATATATAAACATACTTTTGGTAAACAAATTGTTCCCATGTTTATATATTTGTATATATATACATATATCTGTCAATATATTTGTATGTATATATATCTGTTAGAAGAAAAAAAAATTCTTCACATGTTTGAATGTGTGTATATATATACATATATCTGTTAAACAGATTTAGAAATTAATTTAATTGGATTTTATTTTCTTTGCTAGAAATCAAAATATGTTTTCATGTGTTTATATACATGTATCTATTATGTGGTTGTTCTTTGCTAGAATTGTGGATATTCTTCTTTACATGAAAACATAATTAATCTATTCATGTGTAATAAAGTTGTTCTTTAGATAAAGGTTTCGTGTGTTTGAACAAATAAAGTTGTTCAAAAAATGTTTTCGTGTGTTTAAACAAAATTCCTTGTGGTTTTCTTTAGATAAAGGTCTTCTTTAGATAAATTACACAAATGACAGTACAGATTCCATCTCTCTCTGGTTTTCTCAACAAGGTACTTGAGGGCATTATAGACATTTCAACGTATATCTTTGATGACATCAGCAGTTTCTGTTAGTTTTGTGAACGGAAGTCAAAAAATGGGGGAATCTGTACAATGTCAGGTAAAGTAAGGGGGGTTACTGTAATTATTCAAACCACAGGGGAGGTCCCTGTATTTGTCAGAAACCTCAGGGGAGGTAAATGTAATTTACCCAAAAATAAATAAAAGGTAGATGAAATAAATAAAAAGCTCATCATTGGAAAGAGTAGGGGCGTAGCCATTTTCATTACAGTTAGCCAACAAACCAGGCTGTGGGCAATTTCGACGGATACATACTCAAGGGCAGTAAGATGTGGCATAGCTCCAAATGACAAGGATCTTGTAGTTGTCCCTATCGGTAATACTTTCCATCGGTAAGATGTACGGGAAAGAAATACGCCTTCTCGTATAATCCTGTTGACCAACTCCACGCTCCTCCGTACGACGTCGCTTTGTCACCTGAAAACACAAACGAGAGCTAGCCGGCGGGTGTGTGCCGGAAACCTCTCCGATGCCTAAGTCAGTGGGCTTGACAAATAGACAAAGCTCTATGTTCTCAGAAAGCAAAATTGTGTTGTGTTCAATTACCTCCTCCAAGGTGATGTTTGTGAGCTTTTATAAGTTTTCTGTGGCACAATCCTAGTAGGACTTTTATTCCTCCATGCAGAGTCCTCCTAGGATTCATACTCCTAAGGATAATGCTTATCCTTTTACACCCTCCTCCACTGCTTAAACCAAGTGAGATGGTTTTGACTTTGGCCGAACTACTAAATGACCGAAATAAGCTTGGCTATGCAGAGCCACTGAGTAAACCGAACTATTCTTAGTTCGGTTCCACCTTTAACTCTATCCTTATCTCGGTTTTCTCATGTACAACCAATGGTACGGTCTTAGACCGAACCAATGACTTTCGGCCGGTATGACTCCAAGACCGACATAACTCTAAGTCGTTCCTGGACCGAAGTATCTTTATAATTCCTGAGCCGAAGTAATTTTACCTCCCTGGCCGGAGTAACTTTGTTTCTCCTAGGCCGGAGTAACCTTGCCTCTCCTGGGCCGAAGTAACCTTTTGCATTTTTCTTGAGCCAGAGTAAGCATTACGGCCTTTTTACTTAGTCCTTCGCACTTTGGGCCACAAAGCCCAACTCGCAGCTCGGCCCAATTTTTTCCAAAAATTACCCTCTCATATACATACTCAAGGGCAGTAAGATGTGGCATAGCTCCAAATGACAAGGATCTTGTAGTTGTCCCTATCGGTAATACTTTCCATCTCCTATTTCCTAGTCCCTTAAATCGCTTCAAATTCATGAGGTAGAGGGATTTTAGGAATGGGAAGAGTCCTCTTGACATAGAAGAAGTCGGAGAAGAACGAGTGTTATAATCACCACCACTACTGCTACACTCCTCTTCCTTACAATTGTACTCCAAGGAATCCAAATAATGGTTGTTGCTATTTTGTTATTTCTATTGCTATAATTTGGCAATGAATAGTGTTATTTTGTCAAATTATAGCAATAGTGCTCCAATGGTCATTTGCTATTTTTGGCAAATCTCAACTAACTTTTCCTCCAAATTTGTAGGTATTGTTTGGATATATGTTTTTTGTGATTTTATTTTTGTTTATTTTTTGTGTTTTGTGATATTTTTTTACCTGTTTGTTATAAAAATTTTATATTTATATTATTCACAACTAGACAAATATAAAAAAATTTAAAAAAATGAAAAATTGAAAAAAAAAATTTGTTTGTTTAATTCACCCCACCAAAAAACATATCACTACATATTTAATAAATTTTTTTAAATACACATAAAAAATAAACAATCATCAATACCAACAACCAACCACCAACAACCATCCAAATTAAAAATTAAAAATTAAATGGCATTACTAAATTAAAAAATAAACAACGGCTCCTCCATCTATCTCTCTAGAACAATCTGTATCCATCTATCTATGACACCAAGCTCTTTCTCTCTCTCTGCTCTCTCTTCATTCATTGCCCTCACCCACCGATCATTATCTCTCTCTCATCTTTTCTCATCTCCTCTCCTCAAATCTTCCAAATCAAACCCTAACCAAGATCTCTCTCCACTGATCTCCATCTCTCTCCACTGATCTCGGTCTATCTATCTAGAACAAGCCGATCTCTCTATCTAGAACAAGCTGATCTCTCTATCAAGATCTCTCTCTACTGATCCATCTATCTATCTAGAACAAGCCGATCTCTCTCCACTGATCTCGATCTCTCTCCACTGATCTCGGTCTCCATCGATGAAGCCGAAGCTGGTTCAGTCACGGTTTTCCAGCATAGTGTGAGTTCGGTCCCGATTTGGAGAAATGCAAGCCCTGGTTGATCCATTACGCCCCTCATCTCTACCCCGATCTTCTCAAAGGTCTTCATTTCATTCCTCTAATCGATTTCTATTTATGTTTAATATTTGGGTAATTAATCAGTTTTTTGTATCTTCAAGTTCGGGCCCAAAAATTAATTAATCAGAAAATCAAAATTATTTTTTTTTTGTGAATTAATCAGTTTTTTTTTTTTTTTCTGTGAACCTGTTTGATGAATCTGTAAATTTTTTGGATTTGGTTTTGTTTGAATCTATTTGATGAATCTGTCAATATGTAATTTTTTTGGATTTGTTTTTTTTCTGTGAATCTGTTTGATGAATCAAATTGAGAAACATATAATAATTTTTTTTCTGTGAATCTGAGAGAGAGAGAGAGAGAGAGAGGGAGGGAGGGAGGGAGGGAGGGAGGGAAGGAAGGAGGAAGGGAGGGAAACCGTTGGTTTTGGCTGAGTTGGCATGAATGAGAAATGCCAAAGCTTGTGTCAAATTTGACACAAGCTTTGGCATTTCTCAAATTTTGCAGCTGCTATGTTTTGCCATTAGAGCATCAAAATTCAATGGCAGCTGCTATATTATAGCAATAGCAGCTCCAATGGCAAACCATTGGAGATGCTCTAACAAATCCTCATAACTTGAATAGAAGGATGTAGCCCAAACGGTGTAAGATGTTTCCAACTATTACAACTTGATAATGAAATCTCAACAAGATTTCAGAGGGACAAACAGATGTTGTTTACCATCATCCAACTTGGGAAACTCTTTCCGCCATAATTCCCTATCATCAACTTCTTCAGATTTGGGTGTGGCCGTAGGCTTTCAAGAACAACAACAAATTCCCGTCATCAGTAACCATAATAGCGTCCTCACTGTCCCAACTTAATAATACCAATGACTCGAGGAATTCCAACCTATCTAAGTAGTAGTGGGTTGGATGTATTTTCCATGTTTTATTGACCCCCTCAACCCTTCAATCGACAGTTTTCCTCGTAGATTAACTAGGCCTTCTAACTCACTTAGCCCTCCACGCATCCCAGCAGTAGACCTATCTTTGCTGCCCACTACGAATCGTGTTAGTGTATGAAGAGAAGTGAATTGGCCCAATCCACATGGCATATGACTCAACGCATAGCAGCCATCAATCTCAAAAGGTGCCTTAGGCTTACTAGATTCTTAATCTTTCTCGGCAATTCCTTGAGTTTCCAACAATAATTGAGTTTTTGCAAATTTTGCAACTTGCAAATGCTTTCTGGTAGAATCATGAATGAATTTCTAGAGAGGTCAAGATACCTTAGATGCCTGGACTCACTTATGGAATTTGGCACCTTGTTAGTACACAATTCAACCAAACCCAACACTCGTAGGCGCCTGAAATTTGAGATTGTTTTATTGATCCAATTCATATGCTCTGTTTTCTTATCTGAATATCTAAGAGGATTATTATCATGCGCAAGAAATGTTCGCAATTTGTTTGCTTCAAGCAAGGGAGCTGGAATTTCTCATGGTGAGTTACACATCAATGCTAACCCCCCATACATGATGAGTTCTTGTAACATCTTTTGCATCCAAACCAACTATGCAACGTTCACTCCCAGCCATCAATTTTGCAAGATCATGCATTTTGCAACCCATTATATTTGCCAAATCGTCCTTTCCATCATTTTGGAAGGACCTCCTTAATAAATTCATGAAATATTTTTCTCCAACATCCTCTAGGTGTTGCATTTCATCCGACAATTAAATAAATCCCTTGAGCGATCCACAACTGAATCAATTTTTCTTATCAATCCAATAATTTTTAGGAAATAATGAACAATATGCAAAACAATCATCATTTTGGAAAAAGGACCTCCTTAATAAATTCATGAAATATGTTTCTCCAACATGTGTTGTGTTTCATCCGACAATTTAATAAATCCTCGAACAATCCACAACTGAATCAATTTTTTCTTGTCAATCAAATTTGGTCTGAATCTGTTGTATTTTTTTTCAACTAATTTGGTCTGAAACAGACACAGATCTAAAGGGAAATGGGTTTGTCTAGACTCAGAGGGAGATCTTCGTAGCTATGCCTTCATCATAGGCTCTGGATTTGAATGAGGCTCTGGACTTGATCAACAACAACCAAAAAATAAAAAAATAAAATAACATGGAGAGAGAGAGAGAGAGAGAGAGAGAGAGAGAGAGAGAGAGAGAGGTAACTTAAAAAATGAAGATGAGAAAGATGGATGAACAGCCGATTGGCTCATCATAGGCTCTGGACTTCATCAGCCGATTGGGTTTACTGAAGATGGAGAGATTGATGAACATGGAGAGAGAGAGAGATGGAGATGCTCAGCCAATTGAGTTTGATGAAAATAAAGATGAGAAAGTGGGAATGGTCCCTTCTGATTCCAGAATTCTCACCTCAGCCGTTGGATCGTGAGAAAATCAACCGTGTGGATGGTGTCTTGGAATGCAATAAGACCGTTGTTGTGCTCTTTTTTTATCCTAAAAAAAAAATTTAAAAGAAAAATTGCAAAACAGATAGAATAACGGATATAAATACAACGGTAATATTTTTTTATGTCTCAACACTAATTATAATAAAAAAAAAAAAACGGCCATATTTTTTTTTATAAATGTAAATTATCAATCTCAATTCTATTTCACAGCAAATAAATTACATTTATCTTCTTCTCCTCTCTTTTATCTCAATTTCAACTCACAGCAAATCTCTCAAATTACATACATTATTTTTTTCTAATTCAGTCCTCGATTCTTCTATGGATAGATGCATTTCTCTTGAAGATGACAACAGTCCAATGATTGGTAACAATCCAACTGTTGGTAATAATCCAATCAGTGAGGGTAGTGTCTTTGCAAGGAGTAAAAGGCATATGAGTAAGAAAGCTGCAAAAGAATTATTTCAGAGAAATCAAGTCATTGAAGCTAAAGTCTACAAATTTAGCAATGTGTTGGAGACATTTAATCAACACCTTGTTGAAAAGGAAAAGAAAAAAGATAAAAGAGAAGAAAAAAGGATTCAAGCATTATAGGAGCTGAAAGAACTTGAGATGAAAAAACATGATTTTGAGATCAGAAGACAAGAACATGAGATGAAAAAAGAATAACATATGATAATGACTACGAACATTTCTCATTTGGACCCTCAGATGAAAGAGTATTACATAATGCGAAAAAATGAGATTTTCGCCAAGTGGTCCTCAAATATCAGCAGCCCAAATTACTATTTCCCTGGTCTCTTGATGAATAATTACGAGATAATGTACTTTTAAATTTTGCAATGTCATTTATTTAGTCTTTATTTCTAATGTCATTTTTTTATTTTGTAATGAATTTGTTTTTTATTTTTCAGTACTTTCTACAACTGAATGTAATATTATTTGTACAATGTATAATTTATTAAATATGTAGTGATATGTTTTTGGGTGGGGTGAATTATATTTAATTTTTTTTTTCAATTTTTCAATTTATTTTTCATTTTTTATATTTGTCTAGTTGGGTATAATGTAAATATATATATATATTTTTTTACAAACAGTTAAAAAAAGGTCACAAAAGACAAAAAATAAACAAAAAAA